ATATATATATATATATATATATGTTGGCTGGGCACTGTGACTCACACCTGCAATCCTAGCACTCTGGAAGGCCAAGGTGCAAAGACAGCTTGCGCTCAGGAGTTTGAAACCAGCATGAGCTAGAGCGAGACCCCATCTCTAAAAATAGCTGGGCACTGTGGTGGGAGGCTGAGGCAAGAGGATCACTTGTGCCCAAGAGTTTGAGGTTGCTGTGAGCTATGATACCATGCACTCTACTGAGGGCAACAAAGAAAGATTCTGTCTTTAAAAAAAAAAGAAAACAAAGAAATGGAGAGTTGAAATATTCATGTATTATCCAAGGTCTCAGCAAGGTCTCAGGGCTGATGACTAGCACAACCACAATTTGAACACAGCTATGCCTGACTCCCAAAGCCATGCTTTGTCTACTACAGTCACCTCTGCCCCTTCAGGGCAAGTCTACAGGCTGTTCTGATCCGAGGAATCTGAGTGGAGTGCAGGGAGTCTGAAACTTATATCACCACCACAAACAATACTGTGCGGGTAGTGGAAGCTGGTCACAACTCCCAGATCACCCCCTTATGCTTAGGTAGCTATGAGTAAAAAAGCACACCTAATGGCACACTCCTTGCAAATTTCAGTGGGAGCATCCTTGGTGTTCTCAGAAAAAAGTTTTCTTGAAGCATGACAAAATCCTTTTGTCTGTAAAATCTAAGAGCCCTGCAGATGATACAAGCATACACCTAGTATAAGGTGGTGTCTGAGAACACTGCCAGCAGCCACGGCAGCAGCAACAGACATGTTGGTCCCTGTCCCCAACTGCCCCAGATGCTCAAAGAAGGCTACTGACAGCACAGTGATTTCTCCCCTAAATTACTCTCAAAGGACAAACACATTTACCCATTATTCTGCCTCTCACTGTCCTGAACACTGAACTAGGCCTGGGGCACTGTGATAGGCCAAGTTCTATCTGTGTAGGGCCCCATGCACGACAAAGCTTGCCACTGGTACCCTGTACACTTGGTTACAACATCCTCCCAGGACCAGCCTGATGAGATAGGCCCGAACCTGAGAACAATTTAAATCCCAGGCACCTCACAGCCCATAGTGGGAGTACAGTTTGGGCTCAGCCAGAAGCCCTGTGTGCGAGCTGAGCAAGCTCTTCTATGGCCTCTTACTCATCCGTACTCCTCAGCGTCCTCTTAACGTGCACCTCACATCGACAAAGCGCCACCTGGTGACCAAAGGCAAAACTGCCAGACTAGATCCTCACCCGAAAGAAAGGGCCCACGGGGGCTCCCACGGTGTGTGTGTGTCTATATATGTACAAATCAGCGGTGCGTCCTGGGTTTGGTTTTTTACCTTTCTGATTTCAAATATCCTGTTCAACTGCCCCATGGCTGCACTCATTTTTGTTGCAGAAGATTTGGTCACAGTGCATATGAGGTAATAGACCATCTTCCTCCATCTGTAAATCATTAGGCAATTCCCCCTAGTCCTTAAGAAAGACTAATCCCGGCCTCCTGGTGCTCACCACAGGCTGTGTCCTCACACGGTGTATAAAGAGGAGGCAGAATGAACCCAGCCCATGCACACCCCAGCCCTGGCCCCAGGCCTGGTCTGTACTGTGAACAGGGGAACATGGAGTTGGATTAAAAAAAAAAAAATAAGGGAGACTAATCCATTCATAAAAATAACCTCAATAAAAATATTTTTAAAAGGTATATAATTTGCCCTCATTTGCTATTAGATGCGGGCCTGATCATAGCCACATGGCATAAATAAATGAAAACTATGAAAATTCTCAGATAAAGTACTGCCATTGTATACTTCCATTGGGGTGTGTGTGTATGTTTTCTTTTTTGGACTACTTTATATTAGTCATTATGCTCTGGCTTTTAATCCACTTACCTAATACTTCCTTGGGAGACAGGTCAGCATTATTAAAGATAATTAACAACGTGGGCAAAACAAGACGGTATGTGACATTTTTCTGTGATTACACAGAGGAGCAGTCACAGCATCTACATCTGCTTTTCTGTCCACTATTTAGCTGGTTAACCTCTAACTCAGTGATACTCAAACTTGATGGAGCCAAGAATAACATGGGGGTGCTTTAAAAAACTGTAGATTCTGGGGCCCTGCTGCCAGAATACTGATTTAGCTCATTTGGGGTAGGGATAGGAATCTGCATTTTCTTTTCCTTTTTTTGAGACAGAGTTTCACTGTCACCCTGGATAGAGTGCCCTTGCTCAGGTTGGTTTAGAACTCCTGAGTTCAAGCAATCCACCTGCATTGGCCTCCCAGAGTGTGGGGATTACAGGGTGAGCCACACACCTGGCCTAGGAATCTGTATTTTAATAAACACCCCCTCTGATGCAGGTGAATCAGAGACTATACTAAAAGAAAAAGGGTTGTTATTCTTCACTTAATAATGTTTCATAACATCCCAAAATAAATTTACCTAAAGTTCCTTTTAAAACATTAAAAAATGGGCCAGCATAGTAGTTCACGCCTATAACCCTGCACTCTGGGAGGCCACAGAGGGTGGATTGCCTGAGCTCAGGAGTTCAAGACCAGCCTGAGCAAGAGCAAGACTCAATCTGTCTACTAAAAATAGAAAAAACTAGCTAGGTGTTGACATGGGCGCCTGTAATCCCAGCTATGTGGGAGGCTGAGGCAAGAAGATCACTTGAGGCTCAGCTCCTATATCACAGTGGCTACAGTGCCAGCCACATACACGAAGGTGGCAGGTTTGAACCCGGCCCAGGGCCAGCAAACCAACAATGACAACTGCAACAACAACAACAAAATAGCCAGGTGTTGTGGTGGGCACCTGTAGTCCCAGCTACTTGGGAGGCTGAGGCAAGAGATCGCTTGAGCCCAAGAGTTGGAGGTTGCTGTGAGCTGTGACGCCACAGCACTCTACTGAGGGTAACACAGTGAAACTCTATTTCAAGCAAAAAAGAAGATCGCTTGAGCCCAAGAGTTTGAGGTTGTTGTGAGCTATGATATCCCAGGGAACCAAAGTGAGACTCTGTCTCAAAAAAAAAAAAAAAAAAGAAAGAAAGAAAGAAAGAAAAAAGGAAAGAAAGAAAATTAAAAAATGTCTTCTCAGTTAAAAAAGTAATACATGTCTTTTATGGAAAAGTCCTGTTGTAACAGAACTAGAACTAGAGAAGGTAGGAAAGTAAAAATTGCCCATAATCTTATCCTAAGCACATTATAACAGATATACATTTTTAAATTTAATTTTTAATATTTTTGCAAAAGTGGGATCATACTGTGTTTACTGTTTCCTTCTCCTTCTTTCTCTTTCACTTAACAATGCATCTGCCCTATGAGCTGAACTTCATTATTTTAAAAAACTTTTTGTTACCCTTCCCCAACTACTAGTTTTGGCATCCACTGCTGGGGAGTTTGCCTCCTGGTGGTTTTCTGTTCTCATCATTCCATCTACATTTATTAACTGGAATTCTACTGCAGGGAGGGGCTGTCCCTTTTCTTTCACTCATTTATTCAACTGTTTATAAATTATGTACTATTTATTTCTATAACTTATATTCATTTTTTGCTTAAGCAAAAACAAGAAAATCCTGAAAGGGAAAAAAATCTGCTTCTAAAGAGAAAGGAAATCATTTTAGATAATTTATAAGTTAAAAGAGAAAAGTGCAGGCAGTGCCTGTGGCTGAGTGAGCAGGGCGCCGGCCCCATATACCGAAGGTGGCGGGTTTGAACCTGGCTCTGGCCAAACTGCAACAAAAAATAGCTGAGTGTTGTGGTGGGCACCTGTAGTCCCAGCTACTCCGGAGGCTGAGGCAAGAGAATCGCCTAAGGCCAAGAGCTGGAAGTTGCTGTGAGCTGTGATGCTACAGTACTCTACCGAGGGTGACAAAGTGAGACGCTGTCTCTTAAAAAAAAAAAAAAAAGGAGAAAAGTGCTCGTTTTATTCATTGGATAGACATGCAATATTTGTGCTAAAGAACCAAACAATAGTTACTATGGAGACCAACGTATGGGATCATGTCAATAACTTATTTATGGTACTACATAAACCCTTTCTTTAATAGATTTTAAGGCCTTTATGTTTGAGTTCCGGCTCTTTTGATGGCTGGTTATTTTCCCAGATTTCTCTACTTCCCCTCTTCTCAGATAGGTAACAGGTCCCTGGCTAACCAGTGGATATCTTTAGGCTGCTGCTGCTTTAGAACATTCCCTTATAGTAGCATCAGAGGAGAACAGTTTAGTCTCTGCCTGAATGCTGCAAGGTGAATACAGATTTGCCTATTTAACCAGCTGCAGCCTGTGACAGACTGTGTTGTACGCACTGTAGACCAGACAACAATGATCTATATTAATTACGGCAAAACCTCTTTTCACTAATTCTCCACCCAATCCTCAACGGGAGGCAATTACCAGTTTAGAAAGACCAGTCATAACAAATATAACAAAGCTGACAAGATGCAATACATTCTCTTCCCTCAAATCAGAGATGTGAGGAAGACCAAGAGGGTGCCACAGATGACCTTGAACATAAAAATGCCTTGTATTCAGATTTCACTACCAAAGAAATCAATCCAAAAGAGCTAGTTTATTTATTTACTTTAGAGATAGGGTCTCATTCTGTCGTCCAGGCTGGAGTGCAGTGGCACCATCATAGCTCACTGTAACCTCTAATTCCTGGGCTCAAGTGATCCCACCTCAGCTTCCCTAGTAGCTGGGACTATAGGCATGCATCACCATACTCGGCTAATTTTTAAATTATTTTTTAAGAGATGGAGTCTTACTGTGTTGCCCAGGCTGGTCTCTAACTCCAAGTCTCAAATGATGCTCCCACCTTGACCTCTCAAAGTGCCAGGATTATAGGCACAACCCTGGTACCTCACCAGCAGTCTGTTTATAGTGTGTTAACGCCTCTACTAGGTCTTGTGGTAGAAAGTGCATAAGACCGATGTCATGACTATATGACATCATACTTAATATTGACTTTTTCCAAATATTTAATTAAGCAATTAAATTAACAATTGCCTAATTAACCAATTCCCTAACTTATCACCCTTCTTATCTTCCCCCTAACAGATAAGAAGAGTAGGAAAACCCACCTCAGAGTAAAGCACACATCATATGATTGACAGATCTTGCTAATGACTATCACAGACCCATTTTCTTTTTCTCCATATGGTTTAAGCCCTGACTCATCCTTTGTGAACATGGAGACAAGCCAATGTGCTCAGCAGCACTCTGACATCAAATGCACCCACGTGGCTATGTGAACTGCTTACTTACATGACAAAATCTACTCTTCTTCTAGGCCCCCACAAATGGGAAGCCTCCCTTCCCATCAGACTAAAATGTTCTACTTAATCATACTGTGCTTTAGGCTGGGCATGGTGGCTCATGCCTGTAATCCTAGCACTCTGAAAGGCTGAGGCAGGTGGATTGCTTGAGCTCAAGAGTTGGAGACCAGCCAACAACCCAAAAAACTAGCTCAGCATTGTGGCAGATGCCTGTAGTCCCAGGTACTTGGGAGGCTAAGGCATGAGAATTGCTTAAGTCCAAGAATTTGAGGTTGCTGCGAGCTGATGCCACGGCACTCTACCCAGGGTGACCTAGTGAGACTCTGTCTCAACAAAAACAACAAAAAAATCATTCTGTGCTTCTAAAATAAAACTACCTTTCTGAAGATGAGCTGTTTTTAGATGCAAAGGATTTTGCCTAACACCAGCTAATTAAGTAGAGTTAAAAAGGACAGGGGCGCTTTTAGCAAAGCAGATATAGTCATCTTTTCCCTCCAGTGAATTGGTAAATAATGACTAATGGTCAGCGACTACTCCTTTCAGACAAGCGACCCATTCTCAACGTCTCACTTCCTGATTTCATCTGGTCTGAAGACTCAGCTCACAAATAAGAATCTATTAATACTTTGAAGCAAGAGATTTTGAGATGCATTGATACTGTATGTGCAGAAAATGCTCAGAGAGGTAAGCACCAATATCAGCCAAAATAAGTATTTAAAAATATGCAACCTACATATTTTTTCCAAAGAAGGATACAGATGTTCTAATGCCACCAAGTATTAGTTTTCTAGATTTTTTAAATGCAATTTTATTTTATTTTATTTCATTTATTTTGGACACAGAGTCTCATTTTGTCACCCTTGTAGACTGTCGTGGCGTCAAAGCTCACAGCAACCCCCAACTCTTGGGCTCAAGCAATTCTCTTGCCTCAGCTTCCTGAGTAGCTGGGACTCCCCTGCCACAACACCTGGCTATTTTTAGAGACGAGGTCTCACTCTGGCTCACACTGGTCTCAAACCTGTGAGCTCAGATAATTCACCCATCTCAGCCTTCCATGGTGCTAGGATTATAGGCAGGAGTCACTGCCCCTGGCCCTTTATTTTATTTTTTGAGACAGAGTTTTACTTTGTTGCCCTTAGAAGAGCACAGTGGAGTCCTAGCTCACAGCAACTTCAACTCTTGGGCTCAAGTGATTCTCTTGCCTCAGGCTAGCTGGGATTATAGGTGCCCGCCACAATACCCAGCTATTTTTAGAGACAGGGGGTCTCACTCTTGCTCAGGCTGGTCTTGAACTCCTGAGCTCAAGCAATCCACCTGCCTCGGCTTCCCAAAGTGCTAGGATTACAGT